TAAATAGCACTCTGCTTAGTGCTCAGGATATATTCCAAGAATATAAAAAGCTCACTGAACATGCACTGAATAGGGTCATTTTAACACACCAGCACAGAGAGGGTACACCAGCCCCCCAAGACTCTCAGAGGCCCGGTCTACCTCTTCTAGGTCAACCACCACAAAATAGCCTTTCTGGCATGTGTAATGAAGCAGTGTTAATTGCGACAACACTATGTGAAGTATTACTGTATTACCACATTGGGATCGCTTTATAATTTCTGTCATGAAAAGGTGTTCAGAAGTATGCAAGGCTATCATCAAATATTAGTGGAACTTGTTGTAGGCTAGTGGACTTATGTTGTCACATACAGTCACATTTCCCTGCAGCAGAACAGGCACTTATCCTATATGAAATGACTGTACTATTGTATATTTTGGAGTTCTAACAATGGTGGTGAAAGTAAAGCTTTGTTTTGCTTTACCTCCTCCCAGGCTTTTTGCCAGCCTCCTGTATGCAGTGTGGTATAAAACACATAATGTTAGACTATTCCTTATATGGAGCATTTTGAGCCACTACTTGTACAATAATATTGCATTAAGATTTTTACAACCTGCCTGTAAGAAATAAAATCAGTTTATAAGAACTTTTAATTATAACAAGACCATAACATAAGCTACAATGCACTTAAGTCCATAACCTATAGTAAGATTATAACTTCTGCTGCAAGATTTTTTTAAAGCAGTCTGCTGCTTCTGCTGTTTCCGATATTTTGAGTTGCAGTTCACATCAGTGGCCAGTAGTGGGCTTATCATGCAAGCCAAAGTCCAAAACATCCAGAGAGCACCAGACTGAGGAAGAAAGCACCACAGATCATATGGTTCTGCTATTGTCACAATAGCTCTTCTAGTGCTTTATAAGACTCAACCAGAAGACTCTTGAATGTTTATATCACTCTGTTGGCAGCTAAATAAAATGACTATAGGGTAGTGCTAATAGAAGATTGTCTTCTGGCCCTGGACAGTCAAAATGTGGCAATGATCTTGGGACACACCAGCTCAGCAGAAACCTTACAAAACACTTTCACCCCAAAGTGATCTCTCATCTGAGGTTCCTCAAATGTTGTACAAGTGTTTCATACAATAACACCATATTCTTTACATTACAGATCACATGAGAGCAACCAATGACAAAAACAAATGGCACAGCAATCACGTTTATTCAAGATATAAGCAATGGAACAAGTCTATGGACAATGGTAACTGGAGGGTGTATTCTTGACTAATCACTTGTAAGTTATTTCTCTTTTGGAAATTTACTGTCTCATCATACAATACTGCCAAGAGTATTTTATTTTTGGCAGGAAGAAAATTAAACTGGTGGACAGTCAAGCCACAGCTGGTTTCTGTGAAGATATTTCCATTAGAGTTGAACTTGGAAAACATTATTTTTGGACACAACCCCCAGAATCTCCCAGCCAGAGTATTCATTGTAATATTTTAAAAAAGCAAACAGTTCAAAGAGAGCAGCAGCCCTAATAATCAATAAGAAAGCTGAAGGGGAAAAGAAGTCATACTTTCACAATTTAAGGAACATTTACTCACCTCTTCACAATATGTTGCCCTTGAGATTAATCTTACAGAACAGTCTCAGATGACTACATGGAGCTTACTTTCAATTTGGGGACACACACAGAAGAAGCTAATTCTGTCAAACTTTTATAATCCTCCTTCTATTAATACTACTGCTGCTGCACTGCAACTGCTACTACTACCACCACTACCATCATCATTATTATCATTATCATCATCATTATTTTAAGCCTTGCAGCAACTAAAGAAAAACTAACAGTGAATAAAATTAAATTTCATAGTGTCAAGACAAACATCCTGCTGATTCTTATTATCAGTTTTTCAACTTGCATAAACACTTGATGGATGTGTTCTCTTCAACATAGCATGTGTGTGTGCATGCACGCACACACACAATATAGTTTTGGCATAGAGACTACCACGGATCTTTAATTCTTTCCTGGTTTGTTGACTAATATTAATTGTGAGTTTTACAGGCTGAATGTAATAAGGAACTCCGGCTTAATGCAAACCAGGGCCTTCATGTAAAACCTAGCACACAGTGAGATAAGAGTGAGGGGAGAAAGGGAAGTTGTAAAGCCCCTATACCCATTCATAGCTTCATAAGTCATGGCTTTTGTAAACCTTTAAAACTGTCTCTACTAGGTCAATTTTATTTCATGGAAAATGCTTCAGGAGTTAACCTAGAGGCAAAATCCGGAGCTGGAGTACTGAAGGAAGTTTGTTTCGTTCTGCCAACTCCTGTGATGTCGCTGGAACCAGTTGTATTGGCTCTTTCCACTGGACCATTTCAACAATGTGGAGAGGGGGGATCTGCTGCTTGGGTAACAGCCTATCCTCCATATTACTTTACCCGGGCTTCATGCTCTGGAGAGGACACTCCTCGATAGAGCATGTTACCATAGTCTCTCGAGACTGAAGGATGCCTATGATGAGTGTTTCAATCTTAACAAGCATGTCTGGTCTGAGGTAAAGTATATGGTCTATGGACCTTGTATGACCCCCAACACTGGTTTTACCATCCCCAGACCAATTGAAAATGTGATTGATCCAACTACTGAACATAACTACAGAAAATGTTTTTTTTTTCAAATATGCATTCTAGTTTCTCATTTTTCTGCCAAAAAGGTGGAAGTAAAACCAGGAAGGCCCATTAAAACAACCACTTCCTGTTTGTTTCTGCAGTGTTCAGCAATTTCCCACCAAATCTTGGCAATGGCAGGGTGTCCCATTACAGTTTGGGGGTAAGGATTGGCCCCTGAAACAGTGAGGTTGCCCACTCTTTGTTCAGACAATACATTTAGTATCTAGGTTTTGGCATGCATTTTTGCAAATGTGTAGCTATATGGTTTTGTATAGGATGCAGGATGATTCAAAGATGGTCATATGAGAAATTGCAAAAGACAGG